TCTAACAGACCTCTAGGTGAACCCTCCTACAAGTAGACCCTCTAGCAGACCTCTAGGTGGACCCTCCTACAAGTAGACCCTCCAGGTGTCCCACTCTACACCCCAACTATCCACAGGGGTATGCGTGAGCACGAAGGAACAGGTGCCTACTAGGGAACAAACATGCAAGGTCTCTACTACGGCAGTATCGTGCCAAAGTAGGCTGGCCCGTTCAGTTGAGAGCTATAAAGACCAGAAATCTGCATGCGTACCCCATTTGCGACGTTTTGTATCTGTGAACTCTCATAGCTGTAGTAGCACAAATCGATGGGCTACATCTCACTGTAAACAGTGACGAATGAGAGACGTCTATGATTAATAACGCCTGTCGTACGTTATCGATATTCCCCAGACATAATCATAAACAACAAGCACATTTGACACCCACAGACTGACCTTTCCCTCTAGATATTTATAGTTCTCGTCTATATAGCGAGTTCAGATATTATTTGTATGTTTACATTTATAGATAAGTTTACATACATACTTCAGTGAGACTACCCGTCTAAGGGGTTTAGGGTTTCCCCTCTAACAATTACATTAGGAGGCTAAATATGTTTATTATCCATCATCGCTTGTTTGCATGTAGTAATACCTATAAAAACCCCTAAAACATATTCCGTGACGTTGATAGAATCCAAGCTTTGCATACCTACTTAGCTCTCTATTTTATAAACTAAATGAATCTCCGTCCAACTATACCACTAATATAAAAATATTTATGAAGCAAACTTCGTCTGTGCTTAGAAGCTTTGATTCGAACGAGAAAATCCCTATATATCGGCTTGGAGCGTTTAATAGTATACACTAACAAACATCTATCAAAGTGTTTTCTAGGCTAGAAGTGTATGGTTGTCGTATATCTGACAGGAATGGTTTTATTGTGCATAAATACGAATAACTCTGTGGGTATTGCACCCAGCCCTATTTAGAGAATGACAGGATAAGTGACGCACTACCCATATTAAAAGGCCTATAGTAGTTATTGTCTGATATAATACCTGTATAATAATCAACCCAACCCAACCAATGACAGTCCACGGATTGGCAAAGCAATCCACAGGAAGCAAAGATGCAGCAACCCAAGTATTGTCACGAACGGAAGTGTTCTGTTTGCACATATCATTCCCTGTTTGTATTCCAGTCATCTGGTATAGAACACTGGGGTTGGCATCATACCTTCGAAACAAAGTGTGTTAGATATCAACTATACATGTTGGGGTCCCATTGAAAGACACCTCGATGATCTCAAAAGGTGCCCCTAAATCAAACTGCCATTAGGAGCCCACACTCCACTCAAACGTGAGGCATACCACAGGTAGTACAAGTAAAGTAATAGCAGATTGATAATTCAAGCACAAGCATTGATACCAACTGTGCACAAAGTGTTATTCATTAACATTCGCAAATTCTCCGTTGGAAATTTTCCGTTCGCCAAACAGCAACGCGTGTACTAATGCAACTGAGTCGTTCGTCGACATGAGACGGACGAGTACAAATTGTCCCAACATTTGCAAGGGTCAATCATGCCTCCGCAAGGGCATTAGAAGGAAGTCAATGTTATAAGTTGTTACTAAGCGGCGCTGTGTAGATGTATCGAATATGGATGATTTCGTAACCACACAGTAGACATACTATAAAAACAAAATGACATGGCCATATATTCCCTACAATCTGAGTGGCTTACGGAGGCAAGTGCGCACCAGCAACCACAGAATGAAATGGTGAACAAACTGGCGGGGAATAAACATAAGAGATTACTACGGCTGCACAAAGGACCTTTGGGAAAGCTTTGGACTAAAGAATGTGATGATGCATTTAAACTAGTCAAAAGTAAAGTATTGGACGCACCCATATGTTTAATCCGTATAAGTCCATGCGGCTAAAGCTGAAGTACAGATACAGTCATTAGCTACTAAAGGCGGCTCAGATACACCGTACAATCCTACA